TAGATATTTTCGGACATTGAAAATTAATGTGAAAAATGCCTCTACTTAGGTAGCCTTTTTTCACAGAGTGTCGTTTCTGCAGGCGTCCGAAAAGAAGCTTCTTCAAAAGTGGCGGCCTGTCATGATTGAAATATTCCACCCAATTAATTATTTCCATAATTTCGTGAGAGAGGCCAGCTATTGTAGGTGTTCCTCATAGTCGGTCTAGTCGGAAAGCACTTTTGTTAGAAAGGGGGACGATTGAGACTGTTAAAACAAGAGGGAGTGTTTACAAGTAGGGGTTAATTTCCAGGGCCGGCGTTTGGAATAGCCATTTCGGCTACCCATCTGCTGAACCGGGAGAGCACTGGGCGGTGTTATTGTGTAGCACGCCTTGTATGATGTCTAAATCGCTAATGCCGACTGTATTTTTGAATTGGACACTATTTCACCGCTGTTGACCGCTGCCATAACTGGCACAGTTTGCAGCACTGCCTACTCTCTGCAGATCTGTTCCCAAAGTCACTACTCGAAACGTCAGACCCCAAACACACCTCCCCCCCACCTGCAAACTTTCCCTCATTTGGGCATCCCAACGGTACTATTACTATGACATGGCACTGTCAGTAGGGTGACTCATTCAGAAAGTACACTGTACCCTGCAGTTTCATAAATTTCCAATTTGACAATTAGACTGCCGATTCCGACGATGTCCACCGTGCGCTACACAGCATGGTGGCGCACGGACGATGACTTGCATATGGACTAGTATTAAGTAGTAGTATACTGCCACTAGAAGTGATTATGCGAGTCCCAGGAAGCAGTTCAGAAGAAGAGGATGCGACCAATGGAACAGGAGTTTTATTGTCCTGACGTCTCGGATTCCGTCGGGAATCTTTAAGCATAGCTAACGGTACAATAGTCTGACTCATGTGCAGATAGAGGTGAAACATGCACAGGTTGCACACTATTTATAGTTCGTAGCGGTCATTCGCGTGCGTACTATTATTATCCGCTCGGGTAGCCACCGCTTGGGCCTTAATTGATGCGGTGATGGCTTGATATTTCGCGTTCTACTCATTAATTACCGCGATTTCCCTGTCCCTGTCGGATGCGTGTTTGGTAATTGCGCAACAATTATGCTCGTGTTCGATTTAGCACAGGCCAGAAGCAACCATCAGGCGTCGGGTCATGAGACCGAAAGACCCATTGCCACGGCAGGAAACGCCTGGAGTCGTTTACCGGATCTGCTGCAGTTGTGGACAAGCCAGCTATGTCGAAGAAACCTGGACATTACTTCTGACGCGAATGCCCGAGCACGCAGCGGCGGTGAGGAAGAAAGATGCCAACTCGCAGGTCGCAGTTCACTC